TCCACTAGCCTTTTTATCAAAGTCTTGTTTCCACCCTTGCCACATCAAGCCCACTTTCAATAGCTAAATATGATTGGGCCATTGATATGTGCAGTAGTCCAATCAGAGAACGTTTCACAAAATCAACATCCACGACTGCTACACCTTCGTATGAAAGTGATTTGCCGCTGCCTGTCTTTGTTGACACAAATATGTCTTTTTTTATCTCTTTACAATGTTTTTGTGTCTGGGATGAAATCAAGAATGTTTTCATTATCTGATCAACTAGGTTGTCGCCTATTGTAGTCACCATCTTTGAAAAGCAAAACGGGATAAGAACAGCGATCTGATTGGATATCCTGTTTTCATTACAAGGGGCACAACTCGTGATCTAGGCGAGGTTGCGCCAGGGTCGAGCCTGGAAGAGTGGCATGGGTAGAAGCTAGGCTTTGATATAGGCTAGAAGACACACTTGCCTCGGGATGCTGCTGCCAGACAGGCAGGTTTTTCCAAGGCATAACTATGTTATGACCATAAAATATTACTAACAAGTATTTGTCACAGAGTAACGAAATATCCCCCGCCTGTACACCATAGTACCAAATATGAAGACAATCCAGCGATTAGTTCTTGAGATATTGTGGCAACACCGTTTTCCAACTCCAAAAACAGATTTGCCTGCTGTGACCTTGAAAATGGGGTCAAGGTCACCAAATCTGACAGGTGGATGCATTGTCTGTATATACACTATAGTTCCAAATATGAAGACAATCCAGCGATTAGTTCTTGAGATATCGCGGCAACACCGTTTTCTAACTCCAAAAGCAGATTTACCTGCTGTGACCTTGAAAATGGGGTCAAGGTCACCAAAACCGACTGGTGTCTGCGGTGTCTGTATATACACCATAGTTCCAAATATGAAGACAATCCAGTGTTTAGTTCTTGAGATATCGCGGCAACAAACAGGTGGGACGTACGGACGGACATACGGACGTACGGGACGTACGGACGGTCGTGAATACTATATCCCCCACTTCGCGCTTTCGCGCGGCGGGGGATAATAAAAAATATGCACTACCATATTGACCTGTGCCAATATCCTTTACAAGCAAGGCCCTTGTCCCAAAAACATGTGTAAGCTTGCAAAGCGATTGATATGGATGAGCCATTGAACAATTGTGTATCTATATCTCGATACAAAAGGGCGCGGACATAAAAATATAAGGGACAGGGTTCGCAAATATTCCAACATACCTTTCGTATCACAAATGAAGACATGATGTCATTGATGTGTTAGTAACTCACACACTTCTGCTGTTAGCTTTGCAGAGAGAACCATATTAAATCACAAATTGCAGATGCAAAATGTTTTACCATTACATCTCATGGATTGACTAATTTATTTATATATGTGAGATTGTATATATTCAATTTGCGCATCAAATCTCACCTAATTTTAATCTTGATCGATTTTTAGTCTTAAGGCTCTATTATTGTTTTGTGCAGTTGGCCAGAAGATACAAGTCACGTCAAAAAGGCCAAGAATCATCCTCTTATAGCTGTTAAGATCTGTCCAAGACAGAAATTTATATTTTACTGGCACTGAAACCCTTACATATAAACTAACAACAGCTTCCACTGCCACATGACAATACAGATGGTAAGGTTGTGAGGTCATCATGTCAGGTCTTCTTTGACAAGGGAAATGTACAAGGTTAACACTGTTCAATAAAGACAGGAGGTGGTTTCAATGAAGTGGCAGTAAAGTCTGAAACAGTATCAGTATAACTGCCCTGATTTTCTTGTGCAATTTCGTCCTGTAGTTTACATAAATAGAGGAATGTTTGATGGTAAGAAAGGGATGCAATTTCATAACCATAGTGTTACTGAAACTCTCATAGATAACCGAAATTCTCATTATCAGATTAGGTATTGTAGCTGTGGAGAATCACTTATCATACACCAGTCATGAGGTTTTACCAGTAACTTGCATCAGTAAAACACAAAAAAATATGTAGACATGGAAATAACAGGAGTTCCCAAAGACAGCATCAAGCAAGACACACATGGAGCTGCAACAAGGGAATACTCAACTCCTACATGTCAACTGACTTGTAAACATGCAAGTGAAATCAGTCAGGAAACACTTGACTTGTTCCATTCTTGCTGAGTCTTCTAAGAGCGTGTAAACACAACATAATCACATGCACAACTTGGCCAATAACTGAGACTGACCAACAGTCTAGATTTCATGTGAGACTACCCACTGGTTTGTGTTGCAGCATCTTACAGAGTATTGATCAGGACAAAACTAGGTACAAGTACCGAGACATGCAACCTCCAGTTGTTGTCCCCCTCCACCAAGGGTATGAGTGCAGTAGACAATAAGTCTTTGTTGTGAAAGTAGTGATCTGGAGATCTCAACTAAGTGCCCTTGGCAGGCAAATGGACTTTTAAGTTAAACAAGCATAATGTATCATGACCAGTGTATCGAGATACATACTGTGGCCTCCTGTGTCATTGCAACCCTATTTTCTAACATCAGGAAAGCTCAGAACATTTTGCATTGGAAATGTGTAGGACCCTAGATGTTCTGGTTTAGATGTAACGCTGCTCAAATTTCTCACAAGCAAAACACTCCAGAAACAGTCCTTCACATCCAGTGAGTACAAAATCTGATAGGTCAGTATTATATGTACAAAGGAACATGATTTGTGTCTGCTTCTGTAAAAAATGTAGAATATGGTAACGTATAACAAGCATCAACATATGTTCACAATCAAACCTCATCACACTTGCTTGGCCTCATTGATCACTTGTATCAACTCTCACCAACTGGCCCAAGGCACATGGGGAGATTTCTAGTCAGAGAAGATCTGTCCACTTTCTCCAGGTGATCTGGAACATCTCACTGTCCCTAGGCTTCCAGATCAGCGAGGCACACACTGATGCAGCACCTGACTCTTCTACATCAGCACTCGCTGTGTTCCATCTCGGTCACTCAATGATGCAGCACCTGACTCTTCTACATCAGCCCTCGCTGTGTTCCATCTTGGTCACACACTGATGCAGCACCTGACTCTTCTACATCAGCCCTCGCTGTGTTCCATCTCGGTCACACACTGATGCAGCACCTGACTCTTCTACATCAGCCCTCGCTGTGTTCCATCTCGGTCACACACTGATGCAGCACCTGACTCTTCCAGATCAGCCTCGCTGTGTTCCATCTCGGTCACACACTGATGCAGCACCTGCCTCTTCCAGATCAGCCCTCGCTGTGTTCCATCTCGGTCACTCACTGATGCAGCACCTGACTCTTCTACATCAGCCCTCGCTGTGTTCCATCTTGGTCACACACTGATGCAGCACCTGACTCTTCTACATCAGCCCTCGCTGTGTTCCATCTCGGTCACACACTGATGCAGCACCTGACTCTTCCAGATCAGCCTCGCTGTGTTCCATCTCGGTCACTCACTGATGCAGCACCTGACTCTTCCACATCAGCCCTCGCTGTGTTCCATCTCGGTCACACACTGATGCAGCACCTGACCCTTCTACATCAGCCCTCGCTGTGTTCCATCTCGGTCACACACTGATGCAGCACCTGACTCTTCCAGATCAGCCTCGCTGTGTTCCATCTCGGTCACTCACTGATGCAGCACCTGACTCTTCTACATCAGCCCTCGCTGTGTTCCATCTCGGTCACACACTGATGCAGCACCTGACTCTTCCAGATCAGCCCTCGCTGTGTTCCATCTCGGTCACACACTGATGCAGCACCTGACTCTTCCAGATCAGCCTCGCTGTGATCCATCTCGGTCACACACTGATGCAGCACCTGCCTCTTCCAGATCAGCCCTCGCTGTGTTCCATCTCGGTCACACACTGATGCAGTATCTGACTCTTCCAGATCAGCCCTCGCTGTGATCCATCTCGGTCACACACTGATGCAGCACCTGACTCTTCCAGATCAGCCCTCGCTGTGATCCATCTCGGTCACACACTGATGCAGCACCTGCCTCTTCCAGATCAGCCCTCGCTGTGTTCCATCTCGGTCACACACTGATGCAGTATCTGACTCTTCCAGATCAGCCCTCGCTGTGATCCATCTCGGTCACACACTGATGCAGTATCTGACTCTTCCAGATCAGCCCTCGCTGTGTTCCATCTCGGTCACTCACTGATGCAGCACCTGACTCTTCCACATCAGCCTCGCTGTGTTCCATCTCGGTCACACACTGATGCAGCACCTGACTCTTCCAGATCAGCCTCGCTGTGTTCCATCTCGGTCACTCACTGATGCAGCACCTGACTCTTCCACATCAGCCCTCGCTGTGTTCCATCTCGGTCACACACTGATGCAGCACCTGACCCTTCTACATCAGCCCTCGCTGTGTTCCATCTCGGTCACACACTGATGCAGCACCTGACTCTTCCAGATCAGCCTCGCTGTGTTCCATCTCGGTCACTCACTGATGCAGCACCTGACTCTTCTACATCAGCCCTCGCTGTGTTCCATCTCGGTCACACACTGATGCAGCACCTGACTCTTCCAGATCAGCCCTCGCTGTGTTCCATCTCGGTCACACACTGATGCAGCACCTGACTCTTCCAGATCAGCCTCGCTGTGATCCATCTCGGTCACACACTGATGCAGCACCTGCCTCTTCCAGATCAGCCCTCGCTGTGTTCCATCTCGGTCACACACTGATGCAGTATCTGACTCTTCCAGATCAGCCCTCGCTGTGATCCATCTCGGTCACACACTGATGCAGCACCTGACTCTTCCAGATCAGCCCTCGCTGTGTTCCATCTCGGTCACACACTGATGCAGTATCTGACTCTTCCAGATCAGCCTCGCTGTGATCCATCTCGGTCACACACTGATGCAGCACCTGACTCTTCCAGATCAGCCCTCGCTGTGTTCCATCTCGGTCACACACTGATGCAGTATCTGACTCTTCCAGATCAGCCCTCGCTGTGATCCATCTCGGTCACACACTGATGCAGCACCTGCCTCTTCCAGATCAGCCCTCGCTGTGTTCCATCTCGGTCACACACTGATGCAGTATCTGACTCTTCCAGATCAGCCCTCGCTGTGATCCATCTCGGTCACACACTGATGCAGTATCTGACTCTTCCAGATCAGCCCTCGCTGTGTTCCATCTCGGTCACTCACTGATGCAGCACCTGACTCTTCCACATCAGCCTCGCTGTGTTCCATCTCGGTCACACACTGATGCAGCACCTGACTCTTCCAGATCAGCCCTCGCTGTGTTCCATCTCGGTCACTCACTGATGCAGCACCTGAGTCTTCCAGATCAGCCTCGCTGTGTTCCTGTGATCCATCTCGGTCACACACTGATGCAGCACCTGCCTCTTCCAGATCAGCCCTCGCTGTGTTCCATCTCGGTCACACTCACTGATGCAGCACCTGACTCTTCCACATCAGCCTCGCTGTGTTCCATCTCGGTCACACACTGATGCAGCACCTGACTCTTCCAGATCAGCCTCGCTGTGTTCCATCTCGGTCACTCACTGATGCAGCACCTGACTCTTCCACATCAGCCCTCGCTGTGTTCCATCTCGGTCACACACTGATGCAGCACCTGACCCTTCTACATCAGCCCTCGCTGTGTTCCATCTCGGTCACACACTGATGCAGCACCTGACTCTTCCACATCAGCCTCGCTGTGTTCCATCTCGGTCACACACTGATGCAGCACCTGACTCTTCCAGATCAGCCCTCGCTGTGTTCCATCTCGGTCACACACTGATACAGCAACTCACTCAGCTCCTGATACACCTCATGTGACTTGCCGTGTGTCACTCTCAGTATGGACTCTGCCTGCAAGGGAAAGAAAACATTCAAATACATCAATAAATACAGTCTTCTGGACATCCTGTACTATGCTACCTACCTGCGCATGCAGGAGGGACATCCTGGAGCTGGTGGAGGTACTACTACGCTGCCTACCTGCTGGAGGGACGTCCTGGAGCTGGTGGAGGTACTTTTAAGCTGCCTACCTGCTGGAGGGACATCCTGGAACTGGTGGAGGTACTACTACGCTGCCTACCTGCTTGAGGGGCGGCCTGGAGCACGAGGAGGTACTACTACGCTGCCTACCTGCTGGAGAGAAGTCCGGGCGGCCTGGAGCCGGCGGAGGTACAGCTGCAGCTTGCCCAGTTTCACCAGCTGTATTCCAACAGTCGGGGAGCCCGGCGGGTGCAGCTTCCTGAAACAGACGCATGCAGACATAAAACACAGAGCTCCAGATAAGCTGCGTATCTGTGTAAAATATGCATCAGAAATGCAGAAATACACAGTAAAATAAAATCCAAGCGTATCAAATACGCAACGACTTTACAGATACGCTACAAAAATAAAACTTGTGCGTATCATCAAAATATTGTGAAGTAACCCTGCGTATTCGATTAGCAAATCAGCAACTTATTTTGAAATTATAAACGGGCATTCCGTCAACCTTGCCAAACTCCACGATGACAGTTACATCATGATCATTTGCCATCACACTTTCTTGTGGAAGTATCAGGGTATTTTTTAGTCCTATAAAGCTCTCGAACCCACACGACACCAGTTTGCAGGAACTAGATGAATAGTGTTTTTAGATATTTAACTTAAATACCCACATGTGTAAAAACTAGTGGGTAACAGAAATTTGAATACCCAGATAGAATTACTGATACCCAATGATTTTAAAATGCATGGGTAAAATACCCACAACACCAAAAGCTAATCTGGAGCTCCGAAACACCTAGTTGCCATACAAGATTTGGTGTTTTGATCTGTTTGTAGTACTAACAAAATCAAACTAGTGTTTGAGTTAATCAGCATCATTTAGAATTCTAGCCTGTCTCTCCTCTCCACAGGTACAAGGGGAGGCATTTGTTACATGTTAAGATGCCATCTATTGGTAACTCAGTTTGGATTGGTAAATCATAACATGGACATGAACGATCCCTCGGACAGGTACAAATATCATTGAATTAAGGATGACTACAATAATAAGTAACTCTACGCAAAGTAAAATACAAACATAAGCATGAATTTCACAATGTTTGTTGTCTTTTACTTACAAAACCTGAGTAATCAATTCCTAATTTATTATCATTCAGTCATCATGTCACTGGTAAAGATACTGTTGAATTTCGGGTGCAAGCCTTTCTGGTTCGAGAGTTTATTATCCATAAGTACAAATTGTCAGGGATATCAAGCAGAAGATGCTCTCTTCTTTCTTTGGTTCCCAGAACACAGAAAGTCTTGAGTGAGTGAGGTTTTACACCACTTTTAGCAATATTCCAGCAATATCCGGGTGGGGGACACCAGAAATGGGCTTCCCACATTGTACCCATGTAGGGAATCGAACCCGGGCCTTCGGCATGATGAGCAGACGCTTTAACCACTAGGCTACCCAATGTGCCCTAAATTATAAGTGATAACAAGAGAAAGGTCTAAAGGTATCTGAGCAATGTTTTGAAACCAAGGCTGTTAAAAAGAACCCTGAACACAAAGTTTTAATTACACGGTGTGCAAGATTGGCAGTTGAAATGGAAACAGTGACACCAGACATCACACTGTCTTATTTTGGTCATAAAAGCAATGCTCTGCAATGCATCAGTGAACTCTCTTCCTTGTTTTCCCACAATGCCAAATCTACAACCAATACATACTCACATATAGGGTTGCACAGTCTGTTGGCCAAACTCTACTGCCTGCTCCCACAGTTGGCTGTCGATACAGGCATCCATTGCTTGGTCCAGCGTCTTCACGCGGTACACATTGAAAGGGGAGAGAACTCTCTGCCTCCCCAGCAGCTCCTTACAGACCTGCAGCCTGGTCTCCCGATCTGGAATACCACAAGTTAGTTTGTTGTTTAACACCGCACTCAGCAATATTCCAGCTATATGACGGCAGTATGTAAATAATCAAGTCTGGACCAGACAATCCAGTGATTGACATCATGAGCATCGATCCCGCAATTGGGATACAATGACATGCATCAACCAAGTCAGTGAGCCTGACCACCTGATCCCCATAGTGGCCTCTCATGACAAGCATAGTCGCCTTTCACGGCAAGCATGGGTTGCTGAAGACCAATTCTACCCCGGATCTTCACGGGTCATAATACCACAAGTGAATAGCGTACCAGACAACACCTTTACATATTTCTAAGTTTATAACATGAAAAAGAAATATTTTCTCAGAAAAAAACATTTATCAAATCAAATTTTGCACGGCACCTCTCCTGTCGGGATAGAAAATCTATGCAGTAATTTTTGAAGTTATAGGTCGCACACACAAAAATGTCGGTCGGACGGATAGACGGACTTCCTTGGTATAACCATATAACCGCCTTTTAGGTATAACAAGAGTTTGCCACTAACGTGGCTATATCCCCCGCCCCTGTTGCAGAATTTATGACATAATTAAATCTAAATAAACCCTAAAATTTTTTAACCAAGGTGGAACTTGTTATGGAAATTGTGAAAAAAAGATGCGTTTGGAACCTAAGTCCCACTTGTTGCCATGGAAACGTAAAAAACAAGTATTTGTCACAGAGTGACGAAATATCCCCCGCCATATACACCATAGTACCAAATATGAAGACAATCTAGCGATTAGTTCTTGAGATATTGTGGCAACACCGTTTTCCAACTCCAAAAACAGATTTGCCTGCTGTAACCTTGAAAATGGGGTCAAGGTCACCAAATCTGACAGGTGTATGCGGTGTCTGTATATACACTATAGTTCCAAATATGAAGACAATCCAGCAATTAGTTCTTGAGATATCGCGGCAACACCGTTTTCTAACTCCAAAAGCAGATTTGCCTGCTGTGACCTTGAAAATGGGGTCAAGGTCACCAAAACCGACTGGTGTCTGCGGTGTCTGTATATACACCATAGTTCCAAATATGAAGACAATCGAGAGGTTTAGTTCTTGAGATATCGCGGCAACATCGTTTTCCAACTCTAAAAGCAGATTTGCCTGCTGTGACCTTGAAAATGGGATCAAGATCACCAAAACCGACTGGTGTCTGCGGAGTCTGTATATACACTATAGTTCCAAATATGAAGACAATCCAGTGTTTAGTTCTTGAGATATCGCGGCAACACCGTTTTCCAACTCCAAAAGCAGATTTGCCTGCTGTGACCTTGAAAATGGGGTCAAGATCACCAAAACCGACTGGTGTCTGCGGTGTCTGTATATACACCATAGTTCCAAATATGAAGACAATCCAGTGTTTAGTTCTTGAGATATCGCGGCAACACCGTTTTCCAACTCTAAAAGCAGATTTGTCTGCTGTGACCTTGAAAATGGGATCAAGGTCACCAAAACCGACTGGTGTCTGCGGAGTCTGTATATACACCATAGTTCCAAATATGAAGACAATCCAGTGTTTAGTTCTTGAGATATCGCGGCAACACCGTTTTCCAACTCTAAAAGCAGATTTGTCTGCTGTGACCTTGAAAATGGAATCAAGGTCACCAAAACCGACTGGTGTCTGCGGAGTCTGTATATACACCATAGTTCCAAATATGACGACAATCCAGTGTTTAGTTCTTGAGATATCACGGCAACAAACAGGTGGGACGGACGGACGGACGGACGGACGGACGGTCGTGAATACTATATCCCCCGCTTCGCGCTTTCGCGCGGCGGGGGATAATAAAAATTTCTAAAATTTCTCAATGGCGAAAGGCACCAGTTCAGCATGTACCTGACAGACCTGCAACGTTTCATGAAAAAATATTGAACCGTTTATGAGTTATGCTTCAGAAACGAACCCTACCCTCACAGACCCTACCCTCACAGAACCTAAGTCCATCTTGTTGCCATGGAAACGTAAAAAATAAAAATTTCTAAAATTTCTCAATAGCAAAAGGCACCAGTTCAGCATGTACCTGACAGACCTGCAAAGTTTCATGAAAAAATATTGAACGGTTTATGAGTTATGCTCCGGAAACGAAACGAAACGTGACGGACGGAGCCCGTTTCTATATCCCCCGCCAACTTCGTTGGGCGGGGGATAATATTGGTAGTAAGTAGGTGCAGCTGCAGGTACAGCTGCAGACATATACCAGGCATGTCATCAAGTTGAGTCAAGTGCAGATCTTTACGACTTTGGCGAAATGGTGCTGACAAACCTAGAAACCTAATCAGGGTGAATCTAGGAATTGATGCACAATCATAGATTTCTGACACACCGTAACATTGTACAGGCCTCAGACATTCACCACTTTATTGGAACTTGTGCTGCCAAACCTAGAAATAGGAATAGCTAGCCTGGGATTCAAACCCCAGATACTGGCACACCTAAGGGACAAAACTCTGCACAGTGAATTCCTGTGCTTCAGATGACATGTTCCCATCAGGGTCTGGTGTGGAGTCAGGAAATGTCACTGGCAGACTGGCCACATTAGTAAACTTGTCAACTACTGCTTTGGCTGTTTGTCACACCTCCAGATTTCTTGAGGTCGTCCAGTGTCTGCAGAGCTGTCTGGGACTCCTCCATGACTGTCTGCACCTGAGACCAGTATGCCTTGTCACTGCACGCCCACGCACAGCCCTGGCATGCTGAGAACACTTCACCTGGAATGTACAACACTTCACCTGTAATGTACAACACTTCACCTGTAATGTACAACACTTCACCTGTAATGTACAACACGTCACCTGTAATGTACAACACGTCACCTGTAATGTACAACACTTCACCTGTAATGTACAACACTTCACCTGTAATGTACAACACGTCACATGTCAACAGAACGTAAGCGAGTACAGGAAGGTTATTTAGGACACTAACAATCTAGCCATCTCACATCACTCAAAATAATCAAATCGGGACAAGAAACCAACAAGAAACCTACCAGTTGATACCATCACAGTGAGATCAAAGATCAAACTATTCACATAAGATGACACAAGGGACATTGTGACTGTCCAACCAGGATCCAACACAGCAACAGACATTGCACACATACATAGAAATTAAACTTGGGAATATGCTGGCTCAACATTAGCCAAGAGAAGGCAACAAGGTGTAGAAGCATGCCTGGAGTGAGTGAGTGAGTGAGTTGGGTTTACCACAGCTTTTAACAGTATTCCAGTTATATCTCACCGTGTCAGCTTAATGTGGGAGGAAAGCCCGAAGTGATGCAGGTCTCAGACGTTTACCACCTAGTTGAAACCCACGAGCACGGGTATGGTGCTGACAAACCTAGAAACATAATTGGGGCAAACTAGGATTCAAACCCACAATCATAGGTTTCTGGCATGCCTCTGCACAGCGAATCGCAGGCCTTAGACGACTGGGCCACCCGTGCCCCCCATGCCTGGAGTGTCTGGATCACCTACCATCATACAGGAGAGTGCCATCACAGGTGGATTGAGGACACACTGCACCCAGCATCAGCGCATCCTGAAACATACAACATCAGCACTCTTCCAGTATGCTTTGCACCCCACTTTTCCAACATGCTGTATCCGAGATAAACATACTGTTTTCAATAATAAACAGAGCTCCAGATTAGCTTTTGGTGTTGTGGGTATTTTACCCATGCATTTTAAAATCATTGGGTATCAGTAATTCTATCTGGGTATTCAAATTTCTGTTACCCACTAGTTTTTACACATGTGGGTATTTAAGTTAAATATTTAAAAACACTATTCATCTAGTCCCTGCAAACTGGTGTCTTGTGGGTTCGAGAGCTTTATAGGACTCAAAAATACCCTGATACATCCACAAGAAAGTGTGATGGCAAATGATCCTGATGTAACTGTCATTGTTGAGTTTGGCAAGGTTGACGGAATGCCCGTTAATAATTTCAAAATAAGTTGCTGATTTGCTAATCGAATACGCAGGGTTACTTCACAATATTTTGGTGATACGCACAAGTTTTATTTTTGTAGCGTATCTGTAAAGTTCGTTGCGTATTTGATACGCTTGGATTTTATTTTACTGCGTATTTCTGCATTTCTGATGCGTATTTTACGCAGATACGCATCTTATCTGGAGCTCTGAATAAATATGAATTTTTTAGGGTTTAAATCTCATTTCAACTTATCCTAACTCATACTAATTGTGTATATCTTCTCATTCTCGAAAAGTAGTGGAAATGTCCTGTGATGTGTTCCCACAGAACAGAAAAATAGCTAACTCAAACACCCTCCCCACACACTGGCACACCGGAACCACGTGACCTGGCTGTGATTCATCACTTTCTATTTTCCTAATCCTTATTATTGGCCAAACACATCAGGGAGAGGGGGGCGGCTTGGCGGATGCTTCAGCATACGAGTCACGATAAATGATATTTTTACACAAAAACGTCTGTTTAGCTTATCCTGACTCATACTAACTGGGAGTTTCTACTGCCTTTCGGGAATGAGAACAGAAGCCATACTAATCGTGTCAGTCAGGACCAGGTAAAATGTGAAACATAGCTCTACATTGAAAACACAGTATGTGCCATTAACTCTGTAAAAAATGAATTTACAACACCAGCGTTCGTACGCATTAGAAATCAGGACCAGTAGCAGGGTGTAAACTTTCATTTCTCTTACTTAAATAGTTTTTGCGAAAATATGTCCCCTTTGAGAAGTGAACAGACGAGAGACCGACGGTGGGGGATAATAAAGCTTAGAGGTACTGAGTGTGTTCACAGAACGATGTTGTGTGGACAAGGAAGGGTTAGTCACACATGTTGTTGTATGTCGACATATATACTATGTGGCATATTTCAATAACAGGTTACACTGGTGCAGATAATATAGCAAAATCAACCCCTGAATCATGTAATATGTTATGTGAGTGGATGCATCAACACTTAATATTTTGTGTGTGCATGTGTGAACTGTAAATATATTTTAGTAATACTTGAGGACAGATTATTCTTTCAAGCATTTTCAGAAACAGAATATATTTTTTCCAAAAACAAATCACATAAGCCCACCCCCTGGATATCAAAAGGTTCCTGCTAAGCATGCTAAGTGCTTGCATATTTATCAGATAACACCTGTCTGTTGTGATAAGCAAGTGTTTTTCAATTTGTACTCATACTTTGTGAAATGAAAAATATAACGACACTGTACTGGGAGGTGATGTATCAACAGTACCCCACCGACTACCCTAACACTGACAACTGCACACAGAGAAAGGAGTTTTTGTTTGTTTGTTTGCAATATTCTAACTGTATGACAGCTGTCTGAAAATAATCAACTCTGGACCAGACAATCCAGTGATTAACATGAGCATCTATCTATGCAACTGGGATACGATGACATGCATCAATGATGTCAGTGAGCCTGACCACCCGATCCCTTTAGTCGTCTCTTACGTAAGCATAGTTGCCTCTTTCGACAAGCATGGGTTGCTGAAGACCTTTCTAACCCAGACCTTCACGGGTCTACGGAAGGAATTAAAAACACAATACATTAAACACTGTAAGCAACCATTGTATAGTGCTAACATAATTAGATACAATAAAACCACTGATGGCCTTAATACTCAAAGTAAGGAGATGGGACCTCGTCATGAACATGCAGCCTGTCACTGCGTCAGTGCGGGTCACATGTCACAGCTGTCTGAGTGCAATAGACAAGCAACACATGTCTGAATAAGCCAGCCTCAGGACAACACAGTGACGTAGACGTGTCTGCATACAAAAGCAGCATAGTTAGTGCCATATTTTCACAGCACAGCTGGTCACATTCTGAGCCAGGTAAAAACAGGCAAACTTAATATTTTGATTAAAGGTCAGTGTTCCAAGTTATTTTGAATCCAAGTCTATCAATGCATCTTAACCTCATCATTCTCACTATCAATCCACCCCTGTCTAAAAGGCAATATGTTGTTCCGAATACCATAAGTAAGGTCTGTGGCCAGTAACTGGATATATTTTCTTACATTCAGAGGTATTTTTACCATTGCATTCAATATAATAGTGTCCAACTAAACATCACCCAGGAAGACAACAAATCAACTGTCAGCCATTCTGTACATTTGATTGGCTGACCATGAATGCTTACTGTTATGGTGCTTCTTTCATTTCATTCATATTTCAATCATTACAACACCATATTTGGTCATGATGGAAACTCAACCCAACCTATCAGTCTTTTTTCTTCATCTTGATCCTGTTGTTCGAGTTCGTTTATTGTTTAACGCCACACTCAGCAATATTCCTGCAATATTCCAGCTATATGACAGCAGGCTCTAAGGGATGAACCATTTGATATTCTGGGGGTCGAAGGGAATGTGTTTTTATCCCCAAAAAATCAATTGTCCCCCAACTTTTTTCCAAGAATGACTTTCACACTGTTGAAAAAAGAAAGAAATTGCCTGCCACAAAACTTACTGTTGCAAGGTGTTTTTCCTCTAAAAATAATATTCAGGCACATAGTTTTAAATTAAAAAAACATCTTTTTTTTTGTAGCTGTAGCTGAAAAAATAAGAGATCAATACAAAATCCAAGGCCCACCCCAGAATATAACATGATCTGTCCCTCAATAATCAAGTATGGATCAGACAATCCAGTGGTCGACATTGTGAGCATCCAAGTCACCATGCCTGACCACACGATTCATCTAGTCACCTCTTCTGATCAGCATAGCTTGCTGGAAGTGTATTCTAACACTGATTCCCAACAGGCCTGCTGTACAAAGCTACTTATCATTATAACAACCTAAAGAAAATTATTCCATTTGGGCAAAATTTACTACAATATACTGTAGACCAGGGCTGATTAGGAGAGTAAGTCCATGGAAGGAGGCACCAAAACCTGAGTCAAGTCAAAAGGTGCTTTTGCCATAGGAATATGTTTGTGCAGATCTTTAGTCAAATGCATGGACCAGTCATTGAAAATAGTCATTCTTATGGCAACTTTTCCGATTTTTCCAAACATTCAAAGAACAATTTTAAACCATTCAAACACTTACTCCTTTATTAGAATAATTAACCGTGGTAGCATAAAATCAAGATGATGATATTCAAGTCTTTACCTATTTCAGATAACTCAAACAGTCAACCGAAGTCCACATATATGACCTTGACACACACTGACCATGTACTAGTGTTACATTGTTACAGACTGAGGGTGTGTAACGCTCAGATAAAGAAGCGAGCACATGTATTAAGGCCTACAGCAGTAGATGTAACCCGTCACACACACACACACAGCGTCACCACACAAATGTGTGTCAAGTTCAATCACGGCCCAGTCCAGGTCCTCAAGCCCTGAACAGGTGTATGAAACATGGAATGTACTATCTGTGTCAGGCAGGTTTACGTTAGTCTGGGCATGACGAGCAAGAGATATAAGGACTGCTGTGAACAACAGGTATCCTAAAACCTCCTCCTTGTTGAGTGACAACTGTCTGGCAACAATTATTTGATTTGCAGAATCACTGATTACCATGCTTTTCTGATCATTTCTTTAAATGACGTTTAAAAAGGTTCTCCTTGAGAAAAATACATCAAAAGCACAATTAATCAAGTCTTTCTGTTTATAAATAAGATAATATAATAAATATATATAATCATCATATTAAACATGTTAAATTAAATTTGTTTTAAATGTTTGTTCAAATGAAGAAAAGCATTATACATTCAAATAATTAATTTAATGTGGACTTTTCAACAAGACAATTAAGCTTTTATTGAACAAAATAATCATCATAATTAATCTATTTCATCAATAATAAAATGAATTTCAAACAGAAATTGTTCAAACCAAAAAAAAGAATGAAATTTTAACATGATGAAAAAAATAGATGAATAAACCAAATCAAAATAATGTAGTGAATACTACCAGTATATGAAACAAACATTAATTTTAATATATTAAAAAAAGGAGGAAGGAAAATACAATTAAATGATGAAGAGAATGGCTGGCTTCACACCTGCAACATCCTCATTCCACCACATCTAATCACACCTGATATGCATAACCATGGTCCATTGATCTACTAATATCTGGAGGTGGGGCAGTATTTGCATACATCATCTTAACAATAGAGGACTGTTAGACTTGGAGATATGGGCAAAGGTTCAGTTTAGTTGATATGAAATCAATAGCGAACAGCTGTGCAATATGAGCCATATAACATAGAACACACCTACAATGCATGATCAATATCAGGATGCATGTTGGGAAATATACAACCAGACATCTGTTGCATTTTCATGAATTCACAAAGTGTGACTGTTTACACAGACTACAACAGTGAAGTAGGTGTGTGTCATTCTGACGTGGCACACGCAGGGAGACAGAAACCTGCAGCAAATTCATGACAGTTTTTGTGTTCATGAGGATTCTTAAGGCTGATGAAGACATGTGATCTGCAGTTACAGAATTCATGTGGATTTTATGATGAGGCATGAGAAATTGTGTTCTAATTCTTCACACCACTGACTCCGTATCTGTGCATGGTCCCGAGACACTCTGAGATAACAGGAGTGACATGTCGACACAAGCAGGGTGATGTGACAACGCTCTGGGGCACAACACTACAAGTACCTCAGATTTATCAGTGGATACAGCTCGGAACACTGACCCATCTCAATGAAAGTTAAGACAATGTTTATACCTGTCATAAATCATTTCTAAATTAACTGAAAAGTATTTACAAACTCGCACTACCAAAGGAGAATGTCCCCTAAAATGAGATGTCATTGTCAAAGCCAGTGTGACCGATTTCAGCACTGAGTCTGTAGTGAGTTCCATGGCAACAGTAGAAGCATGCAGAACCCCATACAAGAATTGCTGCAGTGTGCGGTGTGTCTGGGTACAGTGGCACGTCCACGAGTGCTCCCCTGCTTCCACTCCTTCTGTGAATCCTGTCTCACCACTCACATCCGGACCACAACCGGCACAAGTAGGTTCCTCTCAAGAAAATTTAATTGTCCATCGTGCCGAATTTCCACAGACCTGCCCCCCGGTGGAACAGATGCCTTCCCACATGACTTCAGACTCATCCAGTTCACTGATGCACTCAAAACAATCGTAAACCTCAAGAAAGAAGGCCTATGTGGCATCTGTTGTACTGAGGAGTATTTCAGAAGCGCTAAACAGTTTTGTGCCGACTGTCAGAAGTACTTCTGCAACGACTGTTCCCTGAAACATCGGCTGACTCCAGTTCTCAGTCACCACTTCATGCTGGATCTTCCCGTGGATGGTCAAAGTGCCGGACCCTCCTGCCACACTCATCCCAAAGAATCAGCGAAGTATGTCTGCAGCACTTGTACCTTTCCCGTGTGTGTCATCTGTGTGATGGGCCAGCACAAGTTCCACAACATTGCCCATCTGAACCCCTCCAGCTCCCTCCAGCGCACCGAGCTCCACGACAGCATGAGTCACATACGCGAACATATCTGGTCCATCCATGAGACCCTGTTCAACCTCACGTGTCTGGAGGGCAAACTCAAGGGTCTGTTTGAAGAGTCGCGACTGCAGATCAAGAAAAGGTCCCGGAAACTCATCAATCGTATCCTTGGTGATGAAGGGCAGATCCTGAAGGACCTGGAAGCCATTTATGACACAAAATGCAGTGAAGTCTTCAAGATGAAGGAGAAGTGTCGCAAGAAGCTGTCATCATGTGAGACTCTTCAGTCGCATATCGGAACCTTGCTTCGATCAGATGACCTTCACGAACTACTTATTAAGTATCCCAATCTGAGCGAAGAACTGGAGAAGACACGACAACCCTCTGATCTCCTGAAGTCACAACACCTGCTGACATTCGTCAAGTTTAAACCGGGCCATTTCAAGCTGGGGAAGCTGTTGGAGGTGGATGTCAAGGATGAATCCAGGACCTTGGTCCCACAAGAGACCACTCACATCCCGGACACTAGCGACAGCAACACCTCCGGTGAGGAGCCCAACACCAGGACCTACATTCCTACTTCTCTAAGACTTGTTACTGATACTGATGACCGTTTGGCCTTGTCTGATGTTGATGACGAGACAAATGACCTTGCCCATAACCTTCAACTGAGGACTGGAGTTTCACCGATGCCAGATCTGAACTTGGATCTCCCTTACAAAACCCCACTCCAGCTGAGGAGTGTGTTTGGGAGCTATGGACGATCAATGGGGAGCATGTGTCTTCCATACAACATTTGTTTCACCAGAGAGGATAAACTGGTGGTTGCAGAGAACGGAAACAGACGTCTGCAGGTGTTTGACATTGATGGGGAATCTATAGAATTCATTGGGAGTGGTGAAATCATTCCTAGATGTGTCACTCAAACACCTTCAGGTGACCTTGCCGTCACGGATGAACTATCAAAAACCATCAAAGTTTATGACTTGGGGGGAAACCTCAAAATGACTCTAAATCCCATCGGGGCAACGTTTCCATTTGGCTTAGCCACTTCTCAAACTGGCCTCTTCATTTTCACCGACATGATCTTTGAAAACATAAGCATCATCACTGCATCCGGAATCCTTAAACGCCAGTTCGGATCTCATGGCTGTACCCAAGACCGATTCGATAACCCAGGATACATTTCCGTCAGTCAGCACGATAAAATCTTCGTCTCTGATTCAAGTAACCATGCCATCAAGGTGTTTGACATGAATGGAACATTTCTCTACAAATTTGGTTGCTATGGAACCAGTGATGGCCGACTACGGTACCCTAAAGCTGTATGCTTTGACATCTTTGGCAACATTTTCATTGCAGACTCAGGAAACGACCGTGTGGTGTTGTTTTCCAGCATCGGACAATATCTGGGTGTGGTTGTTGGCCGAGACCAGGGACTACAACGGCCAACAGGTCTCAGCTACAGTAACCAGGGTTACCTAGCCGTGTCAATGCCCGATATGAATGAGATCAGGATATATCACCTCATTTCTCGGGCATATCCCGATGTCAGACTCTGACAGAGCGTGTGATCTTAGCACTAAGACCATTATTACAGAATGGAGTGACCATAAAATCCCCTTGTACAAGTGGGCCCTGTCTGTAGATGGTGCTGACAAAACAATTTCCGATTAGGTCTGGAAAGAGGTGTTTATTCTTGGAGGCTCCATTATTTACAGCATCAAAGTGATGGAGACATAAATGTGACACACCACTTGAATTTGACCTAGTCGACATGGACAACTTTAACGATGGTCCATGATATAATTCCATATTCCAGGAAAAATATTGAATAAATATGAAATTGTGTGGATTTTTCAATCTTTGATGAACATGTAGAAATGAAAATGACATTCAGTGGATACTAAATATACTACAACTATGACGATGAACAATCTGACTGCTAGTCATCTGTCTGCTAGTCGTCAGGCTGCTAGTCGTCTGGCTGCTAGCCGTCTGTCTGCTAGCCGTCTGTCTGCTAGTCGTCTGGCTGCTAGTCGTCTGGCTGCTAGCCATCTGGCTGCTAGTCATCTGGCTGCTAGTCATCTGGCTGCTAGTTGTCTGACTAGTCATCTGGCTGCTAGTCATCTGGCTGCTAGCCATCTGGCTGCTAGTCATCTGGCTGCTAGTCGTCTGGCTGCTAGTCGTCTGGCTGCTAGTCGACTGGCTGCTAGTCGACTGGCTGCTAGTCGTCTGGCTGCTAGCCATCTGGCTGCTAGTCGTCTGGCTGCTAGCCATCTGGCTGCTAGTCGTCTGGCTGCTAGTCATCTGGCTGCTAGTCGTCTGGATGCTTGTCATCTGGCTGCTAGTCATCTGGCTGCTAGCCATCTCGCTGCTAGTCGTCTGGCTGCTTGTCATCTGGCTGCTAGTCATCTGGCTGCTAGTCGTCTGGCTGCTAGTCATCTGGCTGCTAGTCGTCTGGCTGCTTGTCATCTGGCTGCTAGCCATCTCGCTGCTAGTCATCTGTCTGCTAGTCATCTGTCTGCTAGTCATCTGTCTGCTAGTCATCTGGCTGCCAGTCATCTGGCTGCCAGTCATCTGGCTGCTAGTCATCTGACTAGTCATCAGACTGCTAGTTGTCTGACTAGTCATCTGGCTGCTAGTCATGTCTGCTAGTCATCTAGCTGCTAGTCATCTGACTAGTCATCTGTCTGCTAGTCATCTGGCTGCTAGTCATCAGGCTGCTAGTCATCTGTCTGCTAGTCATCAGGTTGCTAGTCATCTGTCTGCTAGTCTTCTGTCTGCTAGTCATCTAGCTGCTAGTTATCTGACTAGTTATCTGACTCGTCATCTGGCTGCTAGTCATCTGGCTGCTAGTCATCTGACAAGTCATCTGGCTGCTTGTCATCTGACTACTTGTCATCTGACTGTAAAGCAACAAGTGAGTGAATTGTATTTTTAGCTGCTTTGAACGATATGTGAGTTATACCCTGGCATGTCCGCTTGATGTTTACCACCTTGGTGAAACCCACGAGCAAGGTATGGAGCTGACAAACAAGGAAACACTAATCTGGCAAATTTGGAATTCGAACCCATGATCAGAGGTTCCTGGCACTCCTAAGGGGTGCAACTCTGCACAATCAGTTGTTACACCTTGGAAGGTAGGGCCTCCATGCCTTCTGCCAGGTAATGAATGGAAGTTCCTGTAGATGTTTCAAGGTCGAGGAACAATTACTTTAACTTGCTTGTATTTGTTTTATATCCTCTTTTAACACCTCTTTTACATATGCATGTGTCCTACATAACAAACGGGTTACAAATCATGACAAACTGTTGTCTTGACATTCGATCAGTTCATCATCATAGTAATCATGATAATAGTTCAAGACATAATTCACACTTCTCTCATGATAGCCTGAACTCAGGGGTCAACAGGGTCAAGCAATTTCGTATTTATTTACCGGTGATAACATCAACATCTGCACAGAATGTATACAACAGGACACAGCTGATGCCGGGTATAAACACCCCCCAACATCGGTGTGATAATGCTGTACTCAATTATGAGTGGTACAATGGCTGAAGACAGAACAAGCACCGAAGACCAAGGTCACAGCTGACACAAACATGCAAAGACAGTTTTCTAACAGTTTTTGTTTGTTTGCTGATTAGCGCAGTACTTCCTGCTATAAGACGGCGGCTGGTAAATAATCAAACTGAACCAGACCATACAGTGATTGACAATAAGAACAATCCATGTTGTCAAGGTACTTAATAACGTCATTATATTTGTATTGCAAGTGCAAATTCGATACAAATAACTGGCAAAAACATTTCAGTCTGTGCCATATCTTTTGAGACTTGACATCATTTTCAGGAAAATTAGGTAACTGTATTCTCACACTGATGGTATCCATACCACATTAAGGAATTACATGCAGGGATGACCTATGAAGATCCAGGTTAGAATAGGTCTTCAGCAACCAATGCTTGTCTTAAGAGGCGACTAGCGGGGTTGGGTGGTCAGGCTCGCTGTCTTGATGGATGCATGTAGTCGTACCCCAATTGTGACGATCGCTGCTCATGATATCAATTACTGGACTGTGTGGTCCAAACCTGATTATTTACATACCACCATCATGTAGCTGGAACATTGCTGAGTGCGGTGTTAAACAACTAACGAAACATGCAGAGGTGTATCTGTGATAGAATTGGTCCGAAGTAGCCCATTCTTGTCATATGAGGCGACACAGTGAATGGGGTTGGTAGATGAACAAGGGGAGCAAGTGTTGTTCCATGCTTCAGTAGGAACTAGCCCAGCTATATCAGCAAGAACTAAGAACTAATCAAGTCTCCGCCACATGAATCAACAAGGTCCCACACAGTACATCATCACCTACCATGTCTGCCTCTGTGCATCTCCGACACCGACACGTGAAGTAGTACTGCTCATCCAGTTGTCTCCTCCTCTCACCAGAGGGTGCTAGCTGGTCAATGTAACTGATGAGCACCTGACAAGGACAAATTGATGTTACTTTAGAATGGGGTCCAGTGTCAGAGTACTGCAATGTGCACCTCTCACAACACAATAGGTCGACATGAGCCAGTGAATGATGGGTTACTGTTAGGCAGTTACTGTTATTTCAGGGAGTGAATGAGTGAGTGAGTTGGGTTTAACACCGCTTTTAACAGTATTCCAGTTCTATCACGATGTGTGAGCTTAATGTGGGAGGAAAGCCGAAGTGATGCAGGTTGTATACCACTACAGTGAAACCCACGAGCACGGGTATGGTGCTGACAAACCTAGACACATAATCAGGGCGAACCGGGATTTGAACCCACAATCATAGGTTTCTGGCATGTCCATGCCTCCAATGTTATGTCAGTATCAGCAGGACTTCCAATAATCAAATGTGTTTGTTTGTTGTTTAACACTGCACTCAGCAATATTCCAGGTATATGACGGTGGTCTGTAAATAATCAAGTCTGGACGACACAGTCAAGTGATTGTCATCATGAACATTGATCCATGCAATTGGGATACGATGACATGCATCAACCAAGGAAGCGAGCCTGACCACCCGGTCCTATTAGTCGCCTCTTACGACAAGCATAGTCTCCTTTTTACAGCAGGCATGGGTTCAGCATGCTGAAGATCTATTCTACCCCGGATCTTCACGGGTCTAATCAAATGTGGGTCAGACAAACCAGTGGCTGACATGTCATGGGACCTAATCAAGCCCAAACCCTGCAGGGATTTCGGTAACAGTAACTTGTCATCTTAACAAGAGGAAATCCGGTGGCCAGACTTGCAGCATTGCTCATCTCATTGTATCAATCACTGGTTTGTCTAGTCCAGATTACTGGTTTGTCTAGTCCAGGGTTGATAATTTGCTCTATCAGACACCCTGGTGTCAATTAATTCTGCGCAAGCTGTTATCTGGTGTCAGATACATTTGTAGGAAACGGTCATTATCAAGTGAAAGGGAGTAATCATTAGATGCCGCAAGTTAATGTGATAGGGATCATTAATTTCATCAAATGATGGACCCGGCCTCTGTGCAGTCCAGAGTCCTTTTTGGGGTGCTGGTGATTTTCAAATTTTCAAAACAGAATCCTAATGCTAGTACTAGTAACTTAACCTTCATTTGTTTCTTTATTATTCAATGGTAAACATTAATCTTGCAGAATAAGGATACAAATACAATGATCATTAATTATCACAAAGACCTATTGGAGCACCTGAGATCCAACACCACCAGCAGATTGTTCTTTCCGCTATTCCTTCAGACTACTGACTAAACTGCCCATTGTCAAACACATCTTCCCAAGGCAAGGGCGTTAACTGACTATAAATGTCCAGTTTTCACCCTTGCCGAACAAGGCCAGAATGACTGAGTGTCAATGTGGTTTGTTGGTTGGTTTGTTGTTTAACGCCACACCCAGCAATATTCCAGCTATATGACGGCGGTCTGTAAATAATTGAGTCTGGACCAGACAATCCAGTGATTAATGTCATGAGAATCGATCCACGCAATTGGGATCGATGACATGCATCAACCAAGTCAGCGAGCCTGACCACCCGATCCCGTTAGTCGCCTTTTACGACAAGCATGGTCACCTTTTACAGCAAGCATGCGTTGCTGAAGACCTATTCTACCCCGGAATCGAGTGACAATGTGGCGGGCCAAACGAGTCTATGCATAGTCCAACCAAATCACGTAACAAAATCAACATCTGGTTCGTAAACTGCCAGATTTCAGTTGATTGCGGGATTTGCAAAGCATGTCAACCGACAAATTAGCAAATGTGGAAACTGGACTTTCACATTCAGCTACCTCCCTTGTCTCGGGAAGATGTGTCAAACACTGCCAGGTAGGCACTAATAGTGATGCACATGAAATGCTTGTCAAGTAGTGAGACGTACCTGTGCTGGCTGGTCACTAGGTATGTCCGTCACACACCTCACAGAGAGGGTAGTCCCGGTAAACACAGCAACAGCATTAGGGAGACAGCTGTGGTCCAGCAGTGAGGGGCTGTCAACACAATAAGCATCATAACATGTACAATAGGCCTCAGATCTGATGCTACCTTGCATTACAAAAGTAATAACTGCTCTTAAATATGTGCTCTGGGTACAGTGAATATTGTTATGCTTCCTTTGGGATGCAGTATATGTTTTTCTGCGTCTATTCTCTATATTTGTGCATTAGGTAAAAATCTGATAGAATCTTTACTGATTGGTTACTAGTTTCTTTTCTCAACCCATTTGGTTGGTATACACCCAACACACACCTGACCCAACACACACCTGAGATATACACCTGACCCAACACACACCTGAGATATACACCTGTGACCTGACCCAACACACACCTGACCCAACACACACCTGAGATATACACCTGACGCAACACACACCTGAGATATACACCTGACCCAACACACACCTGAGATATACACCTGACCCAACACACACCTGACCCAACACACACCTGAGATATACTCCTGACCCAACACACACCTGAGATATACACCTGACCCAACACACACCTGACCCAACACACACCTGAGATATACACCTGACCCAACACACACCTGAGATATACACCTGTCCCAACACACACCTGAGATATACACCTGACCCAACACACACCTGAGATATACACCTGACCCAACACACACCTGAGATATACACCTGACCCAACCGGCTGCATCTCACCATCGCAGATGGAGAACGTGTTGATCACCATCTGAAATTGAACCACAAATGTCAATACAAAGAAAATTAATTGAATCAGCGGCACAAAGGTTTATAAATTCGCAAGTTTACTGGGTCAAGGACAAGTGTCTGTTGAATTTTGAAAGGTTAAAATTATTTAACTAACCCATATTTCTCTTGCCAATCCATAACATCAACATTACAGCAAAGTTTAAAATGGAATAAAAGTACTGACCCTCCCGAACACATCCACCAGATCTCCACCCTCTGGGAGGGACACCGAGCTGCCAACCATCTCTCTCAAGGTGAAGGTGGCCTGGGCAAGCAGATCACTTCTTTTCTCATCTTGAATAATTTCACGAGAATCTGAAGTTTGAAAAAGTTGATATGAGAAAGAAATATTTTTCTCCATTTTTACAAACAATGCTAACATTAGAATGTTCTATTCACAGAAACATATCACAAGGAGGCTGACACAATCATGACTTGCTCGGACAGCTGTAGCAAACTGCAAACAAGAGTCATAAGAAGATGACAAATCCCCATTATATGCCGGGGGGATAAAAATACTTACACATATATTGTTCACCCTCCAACTACATAGTAAACATTTCAGTCCTACAATGTAGATAATTCAATGCCATTCTGGACAATCTCATTAAAATCAGATCTTAGTTCTCACTACCGCTAAACAAAGATCTGAGGACATCCCATTAAATATATCTCTTCAGAACGACCTATCATCCGACCGTCAGAGCATCGCTAACCAGATGAGGACATCTTCATGAGGCAGGGTCCAGTCCCCACCCATGCTGAACTAAGCTGGGAATAAGGAGTTACATTTTGAAGTAACGAGTCAATGCATAGTCTAATCAAAATCGCGAAACGAAATCGCCATCCTGTTCGGAAACTGACATGCAGATTTCGATCAACTGCAGGATTTGTAAAGCATGGGTACCGCCAACTCAGCGTCAACGGATCCTTCCAAAACATTTCATCCTATTAATCAAGGTGCTCACCTCATCTGATGCACTTTGCAAAAGTAATACCCACTTTATCACAATACAGATTTTGATTATTGACCAGATCATCATGTCTGGGAGCCGCCATTTTGTTTGAAGCAAATGCAAGTGACATGAGAGGTGGAATCAGAGGCACATCAAAGGGACATAACTCATCATAGCCACGATCAAGCCCAGAAATTCCAGCCTAGTTCGGCAAGGGGGAAAACTCCCTTGCTTTGGAAAGATGGATCAGGAAAGTGACTGTCGGAATGTGTCCTCTTGTCGAGTTGTCATGCAACCCCATAAAGATTAAAACTGAAATATCATACCACTGTTTAACAAGGATACCCAACGCAGACACTGTATATATGGAACCACGATACATGTAATAGGTTTCTGGCTTGCCTAAGGGGACACAACTCTGCACAACAAATTGTGGCACCTAAGACAACATGGCCCCCATGTCCCCAGTGAGACTCACGTGTTTCGAGCTGTACAAACGGCCTCCAGTTAACACTGTCCCACTCTGTCTTCTCACCATCTCCACGCTGAAAGAGTAACAAGCAGGAAATACTCCATCAATGGTGTTATATTATTCTTAAAACATGACTCTAAAGGTGTTGGATGAAAATGTTAACTGTGAGCAAGGGAACAGAAGAAGGTTTTACATTTTCAAACAAAGCCAAGGACGAGTGATTAAGAAACTTATGAACCCCCCTAATACAAAACATGCCAGAGAGAACAAGTATTTGTCACAGAGTGACGAAATATCCCCCGCCTGTATATACACCATAGTACCAAATATGAAGACAATCCAGCGATTAGTTCTTGAGATATTGTGGCAACACCGTTTTCCAACTCCAAAAGCAGATTTGCCTGCTGTGACCTTGAAAATGGGGTCAAGGTCACCAAAACCGACTGGTGTCTGCGGTGTCTGTATATACACCATAGTTCCAAATATGAAGACAATCCAGTGTTTAGTTCTTGGGATATCGCGGCAACACCGTTTTCCAACTCTAAAAGCAGATTTGTCTGCTGTGACCTTGAAAATGGGATCAAGGTCACCACAACCGACTGGTGTCTGCGGAGTCTGTATATACACCATAGTTCCAAATATGAAGACAATCCAGTGTTTAGTTCTTGAGATATCGCGGCAACACCGTTTTCCAACTCTAAAAGCAGATTTGTCTGCTGTGACCTTGAAAATGGGATCAAGGTCACCAAAATCGACTGGTGTCTGCGGAGTCTGTATATACACCATAGTTCCAAATATGAAGACAATCCTGTGTTTAGTTCTTGAGCTATCGCGGCAACACCGTTTTCCAACTCCAAAAGCAGATATGCCTGCTGTGACCTTGAAAACGGGGTCAAGGTCACCAAAACCGACTGGTGTCTGCGGAGTCTGTATATACACCATAGTTCCAAATATGAAGACAATCCAGTGTTTAGTTCTTGAGATATCGCGGCAACAAACAGGTGGGACGTACGGACGGACGTACGGACGGACGGTCGTGAATACTATATCCCCCGCTTCGCGCTTTCGCGCGGCGGGGGATAATAAAAAATATTAGGCCACATTCTAGTGAAATTTTACAGTAGTTGTGGTATAAAACAAATTCGATGACAGTGGGTGAGCGAAAGACCATGTGCAACATGCAAAAAACCGAAGTCATGACATTAAGATTGAACACCCTTTCATCACCTGCCCCAGTGGGAAAACAGTGGGTTACAAAACTAAACATGACATGTGAGGTCGCAGGTTCAAATTATGTCATGTCATCGACTTTTCACGTAAAAACCGCAGTCAAAAATCAACATTAAATGCAAATACATAGGTAGCGTAGACATACACACAACATATATAATATGTATCATGGATGTATCTACACCTGTCCAGATGGTTAGTTGTTTTACGCTGCACTCAGCAATATTCCAGCTATATGTCGGCGGTCTGTAAATAATCAAGTCCTGACCAGATAATCCACTGATTGATATCATGAGCATCGATCCACGCAACTGGGATACTATGACATACATCAACCAGGTCAGCGAACCTGACCACCCGATCCTCTTACAACAAGTATCGTCACCTCTTGCGGCAAGCATGGGCTGCTGAAGATCAATTCTAAACCGGATCGTCTTTGTATTTAAGGATTAGGAATTTTTTTATTTAAATGGAATATAAAAACGAGACGTGCGACAGAATTTATGATGATGCATGCAGTGCCTGAGAACGAAGACTATTATTTTTTTTCAGGCTAACAGCTATTACGACAGATAACTGAAACAACACTCTAACAAGACAATCGACATCCAATTCAGCCAGCGGGGACCAATTATTTAACTTAGGCCTGCTGATGAACAGAATTGTGCTTTCTAAAATGAGGAAAACAGGAGTAGTCAACCCATATGGGAGATGTTGGTACCAAAATACATAGCTACCCAAAGGTACCGTTAACATTTACAAATGGATATGTACAATTAGTAAGGTGGCAAAAATGACCATACAGTACTATACAGTGCTATATCAACACAGTACTAGATAATCCTGCTACTGCAAGAAAATCAAACTTTAACATTCTCAATACAGGAATAAGCTGGTAAGATAACATCTATCAAATCAATACATCATAAAATGTGATTAAACTGCCAGATCAAACTGGGCAACGAATTCTCTAAGCATATGCTAATGAACATAAAGACCTAAGGCTGAGCCGGGCTGTGCCGATCGCCGGACAGCGATGAGTAGCAGGCGTGAAGCGCACTGGACCTTGATGATCTTGCTTTTACTACCCAGTAAATATCTCCCCATAAACAGTGTTCATGGTGATGGTTTCAGCAACAATGCAACATTCAGCCCACCATCCCTCCACTCTAGCAAGGACTGTACCATGTACACTAGTGCCTGCCGTAAGCACTGAGCATGTGACTTACCTGCAGCCTGATGAAAAGTCGTAGTAATAACCGCACACTGTCTGTTGGGAGTTTGGGTGCAACACGCTTCAGACATGGACACTCATCTTTGTGAAGTTGCCAATCTTTCTTCTGTGAAAAACAAAACTGTAAAGTTTGTTGGTACTATTACCATTGTAACACTAGTGCAACACGGGTACACTATATTAAATGGGCTGTTCAGTCTGTGCCAATTTTTTTAGAGTGACTTGTGATAGCTTAAATGAAAGATTAGACATTGTATTTTGTTGCAAATTTTTTAGCCACAATCTGTAAATTGGTAATGACTCCAGCTTCACATCATTTGACAAGTCTAACGCTGTTGTGCGCGTAGAAGGTGGATCCATATTTGCTGTTTCTCTACTATTTGTGACGAAACTGACTTGAAACATTGCATATTTATTGACAGTAAGGGTTGAAATCTGTGTGCATGTGTTTTCAGCTTGAAATATTTACATATTTTTAATGATATTTTTTATTTTTTGGAATGTCCGATTTTATGCAGGTTGTAGGAGTGAGTGCAAGCAGTATATTTAGTATGGAGTCCAATATGGTAGAATTGTGTAAACAGGTCCATGCAAAGACCATGCACCATCTCCAGGTTGCCTCTTGGCACTGAAGTTGTGAATGAAGGCAACAACAAGCAAAGTATGTGATTAAAATTTTATTCATTTGTGGATCTTCATCATTGACAGCTGATTGTAGCATTGCATATATTCAAAAGACATACATACATGTACCATATTCGACTTAATAAGCGCCCCGCTCTAATAAGCGCCCACAGCAATATTTGCTGATACAATCCCAATTAGCACCCCTTCCGAATGATCAATGTACACAAGACTTATTTATTCGCGTATAATACACACTTGTGTGCTATAAGCACCCTTAAATATGGACAATTAAATTCTTGGAAAAATATATCTGTTGTACATAAACTTTTCAGGCTGTCACCATAAACCACAAAATTTATCTTTCAACTGGTTTTTTTTCACCAAAATAATATTCTAATAGGAGCCCCTTATTTCTAATTTTGAGAGCGCCCTGGGTGCTTATTATGTTGAATATGGTAGTTTACAGCAATTTGGACCTATTTCAAGTCAAAGTTACACAATGTCAGTCATTATCAAGTCATTACCACATGTATTACTGCAGTTTTACATTCAAGTTTTTTAATCTGAATGTTGGGTTTGTTTACTAAAACATGGCATAGGGTCAAGTGGACCGACCCTTTTTGTAGTACCCCTCAGTTTGTCACTGAGTTTTGACTTTAAATGTTCACAGATTTTGCTCCCATGCTGCACAAGTTTTCTTTCCACAACACTGAAACTTTTCTGTTATTCCTTGTGATAGGCAGCCTCCTTGTCCATTTGTTCAAGTGACCGCACTGCACAACTTTATAGTTCAACACCAGAATTTTGGCACTTGTCGATTGCTGATGTCCCGGGGCCATTGTTGAGTCTATGAACAGTCAAAGAAGCCCTCCCAATCATGTTCCTTGAAAAGTTCACATACTTTGGCAGAGAAAAACTCAATGATGAGTTCATGGCTTTGCATTTCTGTGTGTCAGTGTATAGTTTCCTAGGTTTTCAGATGTTTTTATGTAGCCTGACTTGTTTATACACAACACATATCTAGGGGATGTATAGAAGAGTCAGATAGAACTTCTTATCAACTTTTTCTGATCCGAACTACCAATATACAGAACCTCTCTCTGATTAGCTGTGAGTCTCCGAATCCCCGCACCTCTCGGACAACTCACAAAATACTCTGTAATTTCAGCTCCTCCCACCAAAATAATGGTTAAAGTCATGAAAAATTATTCCTGACACATATCTCCATAACAACAATTTCCATTCCATTCAGTTCCTGCTATCAAACTGTTCTTGTCAGAAACAACTCGGTTAACTACCTAAGTTCGTTGGCCAATTGGACAGAGGATGAAAATGTATAGTATATCAGAAAGATGAATACTATATCGGATTAATAGGCATGATAGGCGTCAGAAGACCCTTATTCAGACGATTCCAATCTAGCAGTAATTCCTTAATCAATCATCCCTTAATCCTTACAATATTTGGTCACACCAAGACTGATCATTCATTCCATCTTTTCATTTGCTCTCCGGTACTAATATACCAGAAGACCAGGTCTTGGTAATCCCCTTCTACATATACATGTATATACATATTTCTATTCCCATGAGAAATGGAATCAATAATCCCTGACCTCTTTGGTCAACGCCTTATCCAGGATAGTCACCCTTCTTATTCCATTTCATATCTTAATCTAAAACTTTGAAGAATTTCGTAAACAACATATTAAAGCCTTTTCCAAAATGCCCTGGTTATACATGCCCTTCCTGTTGTAGGGCATGTCCCATGCCATTGACTTAACATTAAAATATACTTTTAAACATGTTAATCCTATGGCATATAAATATATATATATATATATATATATATATATATATATATATATATATATATATATATATATATACATACATATAAACATTAATAATACATTCCTAAAATTTCTGAGCACAAGCGATATCGCAAATAGCACTATACTATGGGGCCCCAGCTAGCCACACAAAACCTGCATGTGAACTGACCAGGCATATTAAAGTGCTGAGTCTGATTGTGGCCAAACAGCTCTATATACAGTTGCAATCAGACAAAAAGTGTACACCATCCCCGGAACCAAGGAGTTCTGGAATAAGTGTCCTAGGTAGAAGGGTATGGTACCCAACACCCATGATTACACTGCACCGTGCCCCTACATCCTGACTCAGCGCCTTCTTTGCCTCCAATTTATATGTACGAATTGTGCTGGGGAACATATCTGGGTTGAATTCAGCTCTGCAGCATTGCTGAAACTGTCCTTGAGCCAAGGTGGTGAGGTCAGGGAGCCACTGCACCTTCCACATAACTGCACCTACACCTTTAGAGCTTTGTCTATTCCATCTGCAGACCTAGAATCCCATCGGTAGCATACTTAATAAGCACACCCTGAAGCACATGCCAAGCACCAGTGCAGCTGAGCTTATTCTGGAAAGTTGCGCTGATGATGAACTTCTTATCAGATACTGTTTAGCCGGCAATGCCAATTGCTTGTGAAGCATTCGGCCCGTGTCTGCCATCAGTAACCTGACTGTCGTATTTCCAATAGGTGTTCTTGTAGACCCAAGACAAGTCCTATGTTAGGGGCTGCTGGGTTTGGTCCAGGTTTGCCTGTCTTGATTTCTTTGTACAACTTCATTTCAGGTGCTATGAAGTCACACATAACACATTTCTGTGTTAATTTCAAGCATGCTCCCCATTTTCTCTCCTTGGCTATCTGCAGCTGAGGGTCGTCGCAGTCAGTTGATGTCAAACAATGCAGTTGCAGGGCTATGTTCCATGCTACAGCCATGTTTACATTGTCAGCTAGTGGCATTCCCTCCAAATCATCTTTGCTTGACTCTTGTTTCAGGTCTTGCTTAGTGGCCGCAGTAGGACGCAACAGCTGCACAGATGTAGAGTTGACGTCACAGTCGGGCGTCGACAGCCCAGTGCCATCCAACCTTGACTTGGTAACCAGTGAGAAGTCTTCAGCACTCATCCTAGTGACAGTCCTGAGTATCTTGGGTGGAGATGCACTTTCTGACTCTTCAGATTCCAGGGTGAGACCTTTGTTCCAGGGAGTGTTCTAGATAGCAAAGAATGAAAATACCTGTCTGAGGCAGCCTTGATCATGTGACAGTTTCTAGAATGCTGGCTGTACCTGTATAGGAGTGACAGGAGCGACAATCAAGTAATTTTGACCCAACTTGTTTCTGTTCTACTTGCCATGCTCTGCTTGGATCAAGAACAGTGACATATCTTTCAGGACATTCAACTTAAACAGTGAAAATAGTCTGATGAAACTTTGTGTGTAACTTGACATGTTTAAGTGGATTTTTAGAGGTTAGTATGTGACAATTTTCATATCATACCCGAAATCAACCTTAGACCCCCATATCTGATAGCTGATACATCAAGGGTTCATATGGGGTATGATATGAAAACTGACATATCATAACCTTTTTATCTGTACTCCAATTTCTTACCACCCAAATGACATTGATCGCCCATTCAAAATGCATTGACAAGCCATATCAGCCTGGCAAGGGACATAATACAGGTCTGATTATTACACACCCCGGAGCTCCAGATAAGCTTTTGGTGTTGTGGGTATTTTACCCATGCATTTTAAAATCACTGCGTATCAGCTATTCTATCTGGGTATTCAAATTTCTGTTACCCACTAGTTTTACACATGTGGGTATTTAAGTTAAATATTTAAAAACACTATTCATCTAGTCCCTGCAAACTGGTGTTGTGTGGGTTCGAGAGCTTTATAGGACTCAAAAATACCACGATACTTCCACAAGAAAGTGTGATGGCAAATGATCATGATGTAACTGTCATCGTGGAGTTTGGCAAGGTTGACGGGATGCCCGTTTATAATTTCAAAATAAGTTGCTGATTTGCCAATCGAATACGCAGGGTTACTTCACAATATTTTGAATATACGCACAAGTTTTATTTTTGTAGCATATCTGTTATGTTCGTTGCGTATTTGATACGAATGGATATTATTTTACTGCGTATTTCTGCATTTCTGATGTGTATTTTACGCAGATACGCAGCTTATCTGGATCTCTGACACCCTGTGATATGACCGTTTCCATGTTGGCTCTATCACACATGCAAAACACCTAGTGCCTGGTATCATTAATAGAACTTCTGATAACTAAAATAACAGAAAATTATTTGAAAAACTTCAACTGTGCTTAAACTACTTTTAACCAATACCATAGTCACGTGGTACTTAAAATGCATTCTTTTCGAATTTCAAATAATCTCAAATAAGTTTGTGCTTATACATACAATCAAACAAGTATTTCTTTATATGTCTAAAATCATATACTCCAAATCATACATTATGTTATGTGTAATAAACAGACAACCAACCTGACAGGCTCGGGAACAGTAGTGCAGAAACACGCAAGCTGTACATTTCTTCAGATTCTCGGCACTGCAACAGAAAAGCAACCTTTTTTAGTCTCTGTAACACAACAAAATGACTATAAATTTTTATCTAGTTTCTCGCTGGACAGGCGTAACAAGATCATTTCCTCCTGCAGGTGCATGTGTTGTTATTAAGCCATGTTAATTGACAAATCTGTCAATCAATCTTATGGGTAAACAGAAGAATTGCCATACTTCAGGTGGCAAAAATAATTGTAAGTGCGAAATAGGTTGCCAATTGAAACAAGCCAACACACATGCAGCCAGAGTCTGTAGGTACATGCAGACATTAAAACCATAAAACATGCAGACATTAAAACCATAAAACAGACTTTCAAATCAATCATTTCTCCCCTGTGTAACCAGTAACCCATCCCATCAGTTGTGAATCAAACAACTAGCATGTAATTATCTCACCTCCTCTACAGCACATATACACAATAGTCAACCTCAATGTGCATCACAGTTGTATTATAAGGGCTTCACCTAACTGTCCACAGAAAAATGCTTACCCATGTTTGACCATTTGCCTTTCTATACACAGGTCTAGAGTCAAGGACGTCATCTCTTCTAAACTTATTCCACATCATCAAGATCATTTACTGATTTAGTGCCATCGTAAATGCCAATTCCATTTGAACTACAATAACTATATGGTAGCACCAGCATGGGGGTAGATTGCAAAAAGCTTTTCAAATGAGACATATAGCAATATCTTTGCTTTGTTTCGGTATATTGGGTAATAAATACAAAACACATTTCATTATTATTTGTATCGTTAACCACGGACCTACAAAACCAGTTATATGGGTCCATGGTTAAACCTAAAATTTACACAGAAATTTATCCTCTGACATTTCCCTCTGAAATTGATTGTTACAACAGTGGAACCACGGGAGTGATTTTTCTGTCACTGTGTGGCAACCGACCATGTCGACTCTTGACATTGTAATGTTTACTTCAGTAATAGGATCTTCATGTAGTTTTTTGTACAACCAGTGAGTAAGTGAGTGAGTTGGATTTAACGCCGCTTTAACATTAGTCCAGTTATATCATGGCGTGTCAGCTTAATGTGCTGACAAAACTAGAAACATAATCAGGGCGAACAGGGATTCGAACCCACAATCATAGGTTTCTGGCGTGCCCAAGAGACAACTGCACAGCGAATTGCATCGCCTTTGACGACTGGGCCACCCGTCTGAGTATTGGACAGTGTTCAAACTACGCGGGGTCCTGAGGTCCTTAACAAATGGGTAACTGCAAGGTGAATGAACACCAGGTAGTATAGGCAGGTTTTAGCGACATGCCAAAAAAAACAGGTGCTACAAAAAACGTTGAAACCTTCAGGGGCCTGTGGTTGAAACATATCAAAGCAGAATGAACAATAACGTGAAATGGACCTGGAATTTTGCAAACTTAAACTTACACTAACATTTAGAACTTTGTATACATAGACATTAGGCAGCCACAGTCGGCAGCAGGGAGCCAATTCGCGCTTGTAAGCTGCGCCCGGTAAACTGCATTGTTGCTAAATATTTATATAAATTTTGGTGTTTTCTTGTCTCTTGCAAATCAGCTGAATAATGAAAATCTGGCCGAAAATGTTATGCGCACCATGCAAAGCAAGCATCGCATCTTGTCCCTCGTTGTTTCTGTGAGAGGACGTGAGCGTATGGTTGTGACTCCACTATGACATCTCCCTTCTTCCAACCCATGCCTCACAAACGCACGTTCTATGTTCTCACTTCGACACCTACACCTCGTGGGTCGAGTCAGTATACGTCCCTTTCCCAGACCAGGCCTCAGAGCTACGTTTATCGAGAGGTATGCCTGTTATGCTCGCGCGTGTAGTTCAACTATACTGTATTTAAGCTTCCGCACGACAATACGAAATGCGCGGCTATCTATAGACAAATCCCAGTCAAATTATAACAATTCCATACATTTTTGTCTGAATAAATATTATGAACGCAGTATTCTTTTATATATAATATGTATATATACTTACTCGATCAAGCTCACTCAATTTTAACACATTTAAAGCCATTATTTTTTTTATCTGTACTGTTAGTGAGGTGACGATTGAGATCATCTGTGGTTTGATTCAGTCTCTTTAGACATCGTGGTAATGTATCACACTACCCTAAACTAATAAATACATGCATGTTTGTAAAATCCGTTTGTCTAGGTACTAGAACGGACATATACATACATATTCATTATACACATTCTCGCAATCTCACAAATATAGCTGACAAACGATAGCCGAACTTTCTTTTCAGAACACAGGCCACTTTAATTTACTCTGATCCCTTATTTTTTGCTATCAAGTCATCAGAGAGGTAAACAGATATGTTTAAACTGGTTAGCTCACTTTTTTTATACAATATTTTCTTTTGACAATCGGATTTAAATAATTTCTATCAAAGGGGAATCTCGACTTAACATAAGCTTTACCACTATATCCTATATCGTCGAATTCACAGATAAAAAATATGGAAAAATACATGCTTTGGCATATTCGAATCCAGTGCCATTTATGCTGACTCACTTTAATCTAGTTAACGTTCTTCAGAATGTATTCTTTGTAGCCACCCTACACATAGGTTATGAAATAGAGCTTTGCGTATTTTCGTTATTTTATAAACAACTACAGACAACTACAGACTCTTCACATTGCCTCGTATATAGCGTGTGCGTAAATCATCGCCGCTACCCCTACAACTAGTTTAATACAATTATTTTTTGTATACTCAAGCCACTGACTGGTCACTCTACACATTACTATTATATAAAAGAAACATCCTTGTGTATTTTCCCCATCAATTAAACGAGAGGCGTACGTTGGTCTGGGAAAGTGACAACTACAGAGTCTTCATATTGCCTTTTTTAGATATGTAAAAATCCTCATGGCTACCCCTACAATGGGTATAATACAGTGCTTTTTTATTCGGTCCACTGAAACGTCACTCTTACACATTATTATGAAAAAAGAGCATTGCGTATGTTTCATATTATTTTATACGAGGGGCGAACATTGGTCTGGGAAAGGAACAACTGCACACTGTTCCTATTGCCTTGCATTGGCTGTGGGAAAATCATCGCCACAATACCCCCATAACTAGTATTATACAATTATTATTTGTACGGGGGACGGGCATTGCTCTGGGAAACTGGGACAACTTGTTGCACGAATGGCCTTGTATATACATAACAGGATTCTCTACTCCAGTATAACAATATCAACTCTACTGTATAAACATTGCTTCCGACTTGTATATACTTGTCAACCAGGCTCTGTATATCACTTTGATAACGGCTTTAGAACCTACACCGAAAAGTCGCTCTTAATTGTAATAAATAAGTTGTTCATCCATAAATTCTTATCCTTACTTAACATGTGATTCTCAATAAACCCTCAGTAAAGTCAAGGTACCCAGTACAGCATCCTGAGCGAAGAACCGAACACAGTGATCAAATAATTATATTGGTCTGGGAAAGGGACAACTACAGACTGTTCATGTTGCCTGGTGTGGGAACAATAACCCCACTACCCCACAACTATTATAATACAAATATGTTTTTTATATTTACGCCACTGACATGTCACACTGCACATTATCATATAAAGGAAACATCCTTGTGTAGCGTGTGTGTAAATAATCGTCGCTACCTCCACAACTGTTGTAATGTATATATATATATATATTTATATGTATGACCCCTACTGGTCACTCTACACATTATTAGTTAAAAGAAACATCCCTGTGTGTTTTACATTATCCATTTAGCGGGAGACGAACAGTGGTCGCGGAAAGGGACAAGTACAGACTTTTCATATTGCTTGTGTATAGAGTGTATGTAAATAATCGTCGCTACCTCCACAACTGTTGTAATATATTTATTATTCGCACTATGTATGACCCCTACTGGCCACACTACACAGTATTAGATAAAAGAAACATCCCTGTGTGTTTTCCATTATCCATTTAGCGGGAGACGAACAGTGGTCGCGGAAAGGGACAGCTACAGACTTTTCCTATCACTTGTACATAGCGTGTGTGTAAATAATCGTCGCTGCCTCCACAACTGTTGTAATATATCTATTATCTTTACTATGTATGACTCCTACTGGCCACACTACACATTATTAGATAAAAGAAACATCCCTGTGTGTTTTCCATTATCCATTTAGCGGGAGACGAACAGTGGTCGCGGAAAGGGACAGCTACAGACTTTTCCTATTGCTTGTATATAGCGTGTGGGTAAATAATCGTCGCTGCCTCCACAACTGTTGTAATATATTTATTATTCGCACTATGTATGACCCCTACTGGCCACACTACACATTATTAGATAAAAGAAACATCCCTGTGTGTTTTCAATTATCCATTTAACGGGAGACGAACAGTGGTCGCGGAAAGGGACAGCTACAGACTTTTCATATTGCTTGTGTATAGAGTGTGTGTGTAAATAATCGTCGCTGCCTCCACAGCTGTTGTAATATATCTATTATCTTTACTATGTATGATTCCTACTGGCCACACTTCCCATTATTAGATAAAAGAAACATCCCTGTGTGTTTTCCATTATCCATTTAGCGGGAGACGAACAGTGGTCGCGGAAAGGGACAAGTACAGACTTTTCATATTGCTTGTGTATAGAGTGTATGTAAATAATCGTCGCTACCTCCACAACTGTTGTAATATATTTATTATTCGCACTATGTATGACCCCTACTGGCCACACTACACATTATTAGATAAAAGAAACATCCCTGTGTGTTTTCCATTATCCATTTAGCGGGAGACGAACAGTGGTCGCGGAAAGGGACAGCTGCAGACTTTTCCTATCATGCACTTGTACATAGCGTGTGTGTAAATAATCGTCGCTGCCTCCACAACTGTTGTAATATATCTATTATCTTTACTTTTCATCACTCCTACTGGCCACTCTACACATTATTAGATAAAAGAAACATTTCAGTGTGTTTTCCATTATCCATTTAGCGGGAGACGAACAGTGGTCGCGGAAAGGGACAGCTACAGACTTTTCCTATTGCTTGTATATAGCGTGTGGGTAAATAATCGTCGCTGCCTCCACAACTGTTGTAATATATTTATTATTTGTACTACGTATGACTCCTACTGGCCACACTTTCCATTATTAGATAAAAGAAACATCCCTGTGTGTTTTCCATTATCCATTTAACGGGAGACGAACAGTGGTCGCGGAAAGGGACAGCTACAGACTTTTCATATTGCTTGTGTATAGAGTGTGTGTGTAAATAATCGTCGCTGCCTCCACAGCTGTTGTAATATATCTATTATCTTTACTATGTATGATTCCTACTGGCCACACTTCCCATTATTAGATAAAAGAAATATCCCTGTGTGTTTTCCATTATCCATTTAGCGGGAGACGAACAGTGGTCGCGGAAAGGGACAGCTAAAGACTTTTCATATTGCTTGTGTATAGAGTGTGTGTGTAAATAATCGTCGCTGCCTCAACAACTGTTGTAATATATCTATTATTTTTACTATGTATGACTCCTACTGGCCACACTACACATTATGAGATAAAAAAACCCCATCCCTTTGTGATTTCCAATATCAATTAAACAGGAGACGAACACTGGTCGCGGAAAGGGACAAGTACAGACTTTTCATATTGCTTGTGTATAGAGTGTATGTAAATAATCGTCGCTACCTCAACAACTGTTGTAATATATTTATTATTCGCACTATGTATGACCCCTACTGGCCACACTACACAGTATTAGATAAAAGAAACATCCCTGTGTGTTTTCCATTATCCATTTAGCGGGAGACGAACAGTGGTCGCGGAAAGGGACAGCTGCAGACTTTTCCTATCACTTGTACATAGCGTGTGTGTAAATAATCGTCGCTGCCTCCACAACTGTTGTAATATATCTATTATCTTTACTTTTCATCAGTCCTACTGGCCACACTACACATTATTAGATAAAAGAAACATTTCAGTGTGTTTTCAATTATCAAATTTAGCGGGAGACGAACAGTGGTCGCGGAAAGGGACAGCTACAGACTTTTCCTATTGCTTGTATATAGCGTGTGGGTAAATAATCGTCGGTACCTCCACAACTGTTGTAATATATTTATTATTCGCACTATGTATGACCCCTACTGGCCACACTACACATTATTAGATAAAAGAAACACCCCTGTGTGTTTTCCATTATCCATTTAGCGGGAGACGAACATTGGTCGCGGAAAGGAACAGCTACAGAATTTTCATATTGCTTGTGTATAGAGTGTGTGTGTAAATAATCGTCGCTGCCTCCACAGCTGTTGTAATATATCTATTATCTTTAATATGTATGACTCCTACTGGCCACACTTCCCATTATCAGATAAAAGAAACATCCCTGTGTGTTTTCCATTATCCATTTAACGGGAGACGAACAGTGGTCGCGGAAAGGGACAGGTAGAGACTTTTCATATTGCTTGTTTATAGAGTGTGTGTGTAAATAATCGTCGCTGCCTCCACAGCTGTTGTTATATATCTATTATCTTTACTATGTATGATTCCTACTGGCCACAATTCCCATTATTAGATAAAAGAAACACCCCTGTGTGTTTTCCATTATCCATTTAGCGGGAGACGAACAGTGGTCGCGGAAAGGGACAAATACAGACTTTTCATATTGCTTGTGTATAGAGTGTATGTAAATAATCGTCGCTACCTCCACAACTGTTGTAATATATTTATTATTCGCAC